GCAAATACATCCAGCTCCCAAACATATCTGATTCACTTTACTTCTCATTCTGGTCTTTTCTGCAAAACATACACACACATACACAAACACTCACATGCACACTGGATGCTCCTTCATGGCCAAGCAAATGCAGCAATATCTGAGGGCTGTGAAGATGAAGGTTGCATCTGTTGTCTGGGGGTCATCAGGGCTCAGAAGTCAGAGGGTATGGGTGCACTGACTGGAGTGTTAGAAATCTGTCTCCCTGAGGAGGTGGTTTGGTCTTGAGTGGGTTTTCTGTTCAGGAGGGACTCCTATACATCTCTTGTTCCAGTTTGCACTGGGAAAAAAATTTTAAAAATCTTTTTGGTTCCCTTTACTAGTTTCCCCTATCCTGTGTGCTCATTCTGCTGACATCCCATCCTGGCAGCTTAGGAATGGGATTCTTCAAGGGAAGGAAAGCATCTTTCTGTTCTTGGAAGATAGATATAGCCTTGCGGCAGGGAGGAACATATGCCTGGTGGATCTGCTAGAAAACAATCACTGTTTTCACTCCCCATCACAAATCATGCAAAACTTGAATAACAACGGCATCTGAAAACCACTAAAAAAGAATAAATAAAACAATCCCATTAACACCGGGTCATTTCAAGCTAACTTCTTACATTTCAAGCTAACTTCTTATATTCATTCCAAGTGAAATGAGACTAAGAAATTTGATTTTTACATCTAATTCTAACTTCAGCTGGTAATGTGGAACTTCAGCCATGACTGATTCCATTTTTATTTTTAGTCTGAACTCTAGGGTCTCATGCAGGAGCACGGTCCAAAACAATGCCATCCTATAATTTTTATTTAATACAAAAAGGAAAGATAAAAAACCACAAATTAGAGGAGAGGAACAGAAAAAGAACATAAGTTGGAAAAGCATGGAAATATGAATAGTCTGCAGCTAATAGTATTGTATCAATAACAACTTCCTCGTTTTGATAACTGTGCCTTGATTGTGTAAGATGTGAACTTTAGGGGAAGCTTAGTGAGCAGTATACAGAAACTGCTTTTTCCAACACTTCTGTAAATCTAAAATTACTTCAAAAGAAAAATTTTCAAAACAAATGTTGGCCCTAACTCTGGAGTTTCTACTTCAGCAAATATGGCCTGTGTCCAGAGAATCTGTATTTGTAATAAGCTCTTAGGAGCTGCTACTGTTAGTCCCAAGAAATTACTTTTAAAAACACTGCTTAAAAAAAACCTAAGGCTACCTGATGTTTCTTACTGCCCTTTCATTAAATTTTCCTCCAATAAACATAATGATTAAAAAATCATTGATGAAATTCAAAGATGAATTCAAATATGGCTAGGTAACAAAGTGAATCTGGAAAATTATTGTGCACAGTTTGTTACTAATTCTTACCAGTTATTACTAGTTACCTCTCGTCTGTTCTTGTCCTTGATTTTTCACAGAATACATAGCTACTCAGATGGCATTTTTCAGACTTCTTTAAGTATTTTCAGAACAGTATGTTTTGGTTATTAGGAAGTAGTTATGGGAGATACAATTTCTACATACCTTAAGAGAAAAAGATGTGCTTCTGGGCGTTGTGCTGTATGCCTGTGATCCCAGTATTTGTGAGGCTGCGGCAGGACTGCCATGAATTTGAGGTCAGCCTGGGCTACACAATTAAAGAATGACCTGAACTACATAGTGAGACTCTCTCTCAAAAAACATAAGAGGAGGAGGGAGACTGACAAAAGGTTTGTTCCTCCCCACCCCACACCATGCTTTCTGATGGTGGATAATTATGGTGGTGAAGTGAAGCCATATTGGGCTACAGGTGGGTGTCACAAGAGGAAGTCATGAAGTCATGAAGATGGTACACCAGCAGGCAACACATGAAAGTGTGAGAAAACCTGGATAAGCCTTTTGGCTTTACTGCTTTCAGTTTCTAGCTTAGCAATATACTTCCATTAGCTTGCTATGGATGGCACAGTTGCCTAAGTTGTTTTTCAGGAACAATTAAACACGTTAAATCTGCTGAAACCACTGGACTTCCCCCTTACCGCATTTTTTATTTTGAAACAGTCCCACTAAATTGCCCACAAAAGAGGCTCAAACTTTCAATTCCCCTGCTTTGGTCTCCCAGAGTGCTGAAATTACAGGTATGCAGCATCATGGCTGGCTCTGACCCTTCACTTGGGCCTGTGCAAGTGTCCGTCAGGTAACCATCTGGCCTCACAGCACCAAAACACTACTTTCAGACCACTTTCTGAATATTTGTTTTATGAAAAGCCATAAAGGTTGATCATGCATATCTAGATCACTGACAATTTCACTTTTTCTTACTTCCAATCACCTTTTCCCTTATTTCATAAGGTCCTTAAACTTTGATGTGAGGAAAGCTTACTTGTGAATAGCCTTTCCATTTCCACACACTGACTACATCGTGAATAAACTTTCTTTTAAAAAATTTTGTCATTTCACTGACTGGCACACTGCTGGTGTAGCAGGCCAAACCAGCCTGGATTTGTAACAAGAGCAGCCTGGACATCTGACACTATAGTAACACGAATCCTGGATTGCTTCCAGTCTGTTTTTGTATAAGAGGAAAACAGGCATCTATGTTAAGTTCCTGTTATTTTGGACCTGATGTCATTTGGAATCTAAACTGATAGTAGTCATTCAGAAGTGTGCAGAATGGAATTTACTTAGTAAGAGAAATAAGGTTGAGGGGTACCTGGTCAAAAAGTGGCAAATAGAGGCTTAAATGTGGCTTGCTCTTTTTGCCAAGCTTAGCGGTATGTTCAGTTCATTACAAGGTTGATACATCCATGTCGCTGCAGGAGAGCATGGTTTTATTTACTATCTTGAGTCTCAAAAATCATTTTCAAAATACCATCTACAGATTCTTGGAGGCATTAGAGATAGCTTTATGTAGTTTATTGATGTACTCCAAAAAGTTAAGAAACTGATGCTATAGCTCAGTGGTAGAGTGGTTACCTAGCATGTGCAAAAAAAAAGTTAATGTTAAATAAAGTGTGTTTATATCCGGGAGTAGTTAGCACTTCATTGAGCAACTCCAGACTTCATTGCTTTTAACAAAGGGCATAGGAAAGAGGGAGTGTTGAGGTGCAGGAATGAACGAGATCAGCTCATTATAACACTGTGTCATTAGGCAGAACATGGCTAGGTACATTCTGGAGCCAAACTATCTGTGTGTAAGTCCTGGCTCTCACAACGTCTAACTAGCTGTGTTATGTGGGTTTGGTTCTTGTCAGTTTTTATGATAGTATGGACACGTAAGATGTTGTGAGGCTTTAAATGAGTATTAACAGTGTCTGACAGATAATGTACTCAAAAAATACAAGCCTTTACTACCATTCTTGGAATTACTAGGCAGGAAGTAGCTGTACCTAGCCACAAATTGTGGGAAGCTTACTGGGTCCCGGAGATTGTACATATGAAACCTTACTTTATCCATGAGGAAGCTAAGGCTTGGGGCAATGTTTCTTTTTCTGTTATCTTTGAATTTCTGAGCTCAAAGCTGTATCAGTAATTTCTTTAAAATGTGTACATCAGACAAGAAGATAATTGGAGCAACTGAAAATCCGTAACAAAGGAGGAGTTTTGTGCAGTACACGGATACTCAATCTAGGACTTGCGACAAAGAATGGAAGAGCAAAGCATGCTAGCTGACCAGACCTTTAAAATGTCTAAAATGTCTTTTACAAGCCATGATGGTAAATGCTTGTTATTCCAGCACTTTGGGAGGCTGAGGCAGCAGAATTATAAGTTCAAGTCCAGTCTAGGAAATTAAGAGACAATCTCAAAATGAAAGGAAAAAAAGAAAAAGAACAAGAATAAAAACAGGCTGGGGATTTAGCTCAGTTTGACGAAGCTGTGTTCAATTTGCAGCATGAAAATTGTGTGTGTATGGGCGGGGGGGGGGTCCTCCAAACGACATTTATGGATTTGGCCAAAGTTAAGTTTCAGTTCTATTAGTCAGTGCTGATAAAAGCACACAGGAAGCTATATTAGTTCCACAATTCAGCAAATTTATACTTGCTATATTGGATGGCTTATTCCTATCTCAAGGATTTGAATTTAAATTATTTCCTCATATGGATTCCAGACAACATCTGGAAGGCAAAAATGTTAGAATGTTACAAATGGATTTCCTTTGCTTTTGCCAATATGTAAAAAAGTAACACCAGTTCCTATAGGAATTTTAACTTCTTTTAAGACTTATGTTTCCCCAACTACTGCCTTTCTCAAGGTAACTATTCACCATTCATAAAAAATCAAATGGCAGTGTGTGGTGGGGCACACCTGTAATCCTAGACACCACAAGAGGATTGCGAGTTCCAGGCCAGTTTGGACTACACACGGACTCCGTCTAAAACAATACAAATAAAAAACGAAATACCCTAAACATAAACATGAGTAGAAGGAAACACGATCAAAAGCCCACAAATTGGTAGCGATATTTGACTCCAAGGATGACGGCTGCATGAAACTCGCACGCGGGCTAGAGGCTGGAGACTGAAGACAGGGCCGGCGCCTCCCCCGAGGCGCTGACACACACAGCAGAGCCCCAGCTCCAGCCCCGTCCGGTCCCCCGCACACCGAGATGGCTTACGGTCCGCAACACCCCGCCCCCACGCCGCCGTCTACAGCCTCAGGTCGCCAGCGAGGCGCGGTCCCAGCTCCTCCCGGCCACCGTCGGTGGCGACCCGCGACTGTGGCAGGGCTCTACTATGCCCGCCAGCGCCGGCCCTCTTCCCGCCCACAGCGCGAAGGTATCTCTCTCGGCCGCCTCCGGTGCCGTCTCCCCAAGCGGATTCCGCTGTCTCGGAGCCAGAGGACGCCGGCAGACGGAAAGCAGCCCCAGGGGAGAGTGCCTGACACCGCCCCCAGACCTCTCCCGCGCCTGCGCCTACCGCCCACCGACCCCGCGCAGTTGACGTGTAGGGGGCGGGGCCAAGGCCGCGGCGGGAGGGGGAGGAAGAGCGGGGTGATCGCAGACGTCAGAGTGAAGAGCGGAAGGTCAGGCAAGCTGAGAGCGGAAGTGAGACCGGGAGCCTGTCCGCCATTGTGGGCCCAAGAAGCGGAGCGCCAGAGGGGAAGCGAGCGTGCAAGCGGAGAGGACGGGCCCTTGCCGCTGACTCCCGAGCGCGAGGCCGTCCTTGTGATTTCTCTGCTAGCAGCTGCAGCGGCGGCGGCTGGAACAATCACTCGCCGAGGGCGGCAGCCAACTGCTGTGAGTGCACGGGGAGAGGCCCAGGCGGCGGCGGCGGCGGCTCCTCTCGGGTTGCGGTGAAGAATGTCAGCCACTAGCGTGGATCAGGTGAGGGAGCAGAGGCCCCAGGCTCGGCGAAGGCCTGCGCCCCAGAGCTCCACCCTCGCGTGGAGCTTCGGCTCCTCCCCGCCGCTGCCGCCGCCGCTACCGCCGCCGCCGGCCCCATAACGGTGCCCCGAGCGCAAGTTGCTGCGGTCCTGCGGGCGGGCGGGCGGGCGCCCTGATCCCGGAGCCCGCGGCGGGCTGGCGGCCCGGCGGCCGCGGGGCCCAGGAGGTGGGGGAAGGACCGTTCTTGGGGGCCGAGGATGCGTCGCGAGGGCGGCAGACGTGTGGCAGAGACCGGGCGTGCTTTGGGAGACGGGTTCCGAGTGGCTGAGGGAGGTTAGCAGGCGGGAGGGTGGTTGAGAAATGGGTGCTGGGGGAGGTTTGCTGGGGTTTACTCCTACGTGGACTAATTAAAATAACCCTTGATATTGTTTTCGATTAACACACTTTTCCTTCTGTTTTCTTTTTCTTCTTTTTACCGCACCTTTTATCTTGTTGTACAGAGACCTAAAGGGCAAGGAAATAAAGGTGAGTTTGGATTTTTAGTTCTCAATGTTGCCCCACCACTATTTTTAAATTGTTTGAGGGTTTTTCTGTTTTTTGGCTTTTTCAAAATGTAGAATTAAATTCATTTTAGCTAAGGCAGCCAAAACTTGGGGTTTCCTTCCCTTGAAACCATTTCTATAGGAAGTGCAAAAAAAAAAGCATTAGATGTATTTCAATTAAACATATTACTGCGAATGCAGTGGTATTTCTGTAGTTTTGCAGTCTGTCTGTTACATAATTTCTGCCACAAAGATTTCTACATGTGTGAAAACATAAGTATTTTCTTACAAGTGGATGTTTTGTTTGACGTATCTGGATTGCATTGAGACATGTAATTCACATAGTATTCCATGTCTTATTAATGAAAATAAGGCTTCATGATTCTCTGGAAGTCAGTAGCAAGAAGACAACACCTAATGAATTCAAGTAAACAGGAATGTAGACTTGTTACATAGTTCTGATTGCAGTGTGATTCAATCGGGTGTTTTACAAAGAGCTGAGAAGGAAATAATTTGTGGGGCATCTTCTAAAACTAAATAATAACACTTTAAGTATAAGTATCACAGAATCTAAAGCACTCAAAAATTTTTGTAGTTGATATGGAACAATGTAATCAGCTGATCGAAACATGACATTAATCATGTGATATTCTGTAGAACAGTAACAGTTTTCGTGGGGTAGTGCCAGTTAACTTTACCGCAAATTACATACTTAGAACGATTATAAAAGGGCTTCAAATTATGCTAAGTAGAATCAGATATCCTGTGTTTTTGTCTCATTAACAAATTTTTACTTAGCAAATACGATCTATAAGTAATTTTTTAGATATAAGCTTAATGTTTTTATTGGTGGCTTTTAAATTTTTTATGGATTTTTATTTCCCAATGCAAATTTGGTTAATTTGAAAGGAATTGGTTCTCTGTACATCTTTATGTTGTACTATATATATAAGAATTTGTACGCAACAGATACATGGTACTGTATTAGGTCACAAATTTGCTGTTTTAAGGACGTTTTCCTTCAGTATATAAGCATTTAGAAAATGTTTTTAGAAATTCAGTTTTGTTTTTAGAATTGTATTGTGAGCATAGATCACAGCATTGGATAGTTTCATCTGAAATGAATTTTTGAAAAATTTGTAAACTTTAAAGAAATGATCCATTAATTTCTTTTTTTATTGTTGTTAGTCTGCTCACTAGGAGGTTTATAGACTCAGAAATATATGTAATCTGTCATTATTGCCTAGCGTAAATTATTTTATCCTAGATCTATGGGGAGGTGGCACTTTGCAAGGCTATTTGAAATGCTAAGTGTTTTGTGTTACCTGCTTTAAGGTAAGTACACAAGTTCCATTGAAGTACTTAATTTGCTTGATAAAAGAAAATACATAGATCATCTAGAGCTTGTAAGCTAGTAGTATATTACTGTAAGTTTGATTTATAACAAGATCGTTTTAATTAAGTGTGGCCGACATCTATATTGTAGATGTATTTTACATCACATATTGGCTATATTGTGATGGAAATTAAAAACTACATGCTTACTATAAATATTTTCTCATTACTTAAAAATATTTAGTTCGTCAGTATCACTTCAAATTGTGTATTTAGGCACATATCCAGACTGTTTGGCTGGATCTTTTTCTAGACATTTTCCTTTCCTTTGTTCAGTTCATAGTTTCACTTAAGAATAGGATGATTGACTGGGCTTTCTTAGAGTTCTTAGTAGCTACTGACTTGACAAGTGAGCTTGAACATACAACAGTTGTTGTCACAGTTTCTCCCTATAAAACAAAATCCTTTTATGGGAATTAATGTAATTACCATAGTTTATAGTTGGCATTATATTTGCTGGGTTCCTTTTCACCTTCGGAAGGAACATTTTGTTTAAAATCTGTGCAGGAGGGGAAGAAAAAATACTGGCCTAGAACTATTGGTGATAAGTTTCTGCAAGTACACAGATATACACACACACTTATGTTTTATGCTCCTTCAGGGAAAGTGATAAGGCCAAGTCAGCACTACTGGTGAACTTACTGTGCATAGCTGTACACTGTGTATAGCTTTCTCCACTTTAGCTGACTTTATATCCAAGCTGATGAAATTTTTATTACAATTCTTTTTACTTTTGTCAAGCAGAAAGTATAGGTGTTTCTTTTGAACAGCTTCAATATTCTAAGAATGTGAGTAGTAATTGTGAATTCAGAATTTAGCAAGCTTATGAAAAAAAAGTCCCTGAGAAGTTGATATCACTTAAATCTCTGAAAGCATAATCCTTTTTAGTTGACTTAATATACTTTTAGAGATTTCCTTTCCAAATTGTTTTCAGTTGACATTGTTAAACTAATAGAGTACCTGGCTTTAATGCCTTTTTTTTTTCTGGTTTTCTGCATATCCTTAAGGACATATACTGAAGGAGCTAAGAGGAGCTGCCTGTCTTTGTAAAAGCAAACATGCTTTGAAGTGTAAGAATGAAAGCTTGTTTATAAGTTTGAACTCAAAGTAATAGAATGTCCTTATGTGAAATGTCAGAACTCTAGTGCGCATGGCAACAGTACCAAAGAGGATAGTTGAAATTTGAGGATAATTATTTACTTATTGGGCCATACATTTTAATATTGACTTTATATTTATTTATTAACAAGTAGAATTTTTGGTTGCTGGAATGAAAATGTGTTGTGCCTCCACTTGGCAGTACTACTGATGGAAGTATTAGATGCGGTCCTAGGCCTTATTCTCTCTTTGGCCTATTTAGTTTATGAATAAGTAAATACATTTCCTCTTACAACATTGTTTTATACAATTGCAGTTTAAAAGAATTACGTTAAATTTGGTTAAGTTTTAACATTTCAGGAAAGTAGTGGAAAATGCCTTGTATGTTGGCAGTATTATGTTGTATTCTTTCCCTGTCCTCCCCAGAAATTATTTCAAAGCACTTCACTATCATTATGTTAGCCTTCATTTGATTATTAATCTTCACAACATTCCTTTAAGGAGATAGAGGGTATATGGTATTGTCGCTGTTTTTGTAGGTGGGAAAACATGATGCACACATCTGTTGACTTTCCTAACTTGATGTAGTCAGGACCAGAGCAAAGAATCACCTGGCTCGTAAGGCCCATGTTCTATCATTGATTTGACTCTGCTTCATAGAGCAGAGGAAACAGGAGAAGAATCATGTAAGTCATCTGTTCTTTTTTCCCTGAAGAACTTTAACACACTGTGGAACTGACTTGGATTTTCATTGGTATTTAATGGCGTTCAGTCTCCAAGATACTACATTATCATTTAACATGTTTAAAAACTAAAGTCTTTAGAAGACAGTTGAGGTTTTTAAAGAATATGAAATTCAGGGATTACTTTGGTGTCTAATTTAACACAAGTTGCTGGTCACAGTATGTGAAATATTTTTAACTTAACAGTTTTTCCTTACTTATTCTTTTTATGTTTTAGGACTTAAAACATGCATACATCATTTAAAATTTAAAAATAACTAGCATTGTGTATGCTTAGTGTATACATGTACTAAATTGTTCATGGTCTCAGCCTTTTAAAAAAGAACAAAGAAATGAAGAATAATAGTATAATATTTAGATAAATTTTAAGTAGGCACTTTTTCACTGTAGCAGTATCTAGTATGAACTAGATACCTGACAATATTTTCCATGGTAAATTTTAAGTAGGTACTTTCTAACTGTAGTAGTAATGTAAGCTAGATACCTGAGGATCTAATCTATATAAGAACTAGGTACACTTTCAAAATAATTAGCTGGTTTTTTTTTTCTTTCGCAATGCTAAGGATTGAACCCAAGGCCTCATACATGCTTGCCAAGAAGTCTACCATTGAGCTACAACACCCCCAGCACCGATTAGCTGTTTTAACTCTTGGTTAATACATACTAGTGTAATTGCCCAATATTGAGGTTTTTATTTTTATTTTTTCAAGAAGACCATGCATCACTACCTTTTATAAAAAGTAGGTTAAAGCCAGAATTTCTTGAACTGAAATGATTTAACCCAGCTTTAAAATGGCATGGGATATAACCTAAGGCACCCTTTTCTTTGTGGGGCACGTTCTCAACTTCAGCTCTGAGCCAGTCTATCAAATACAGTTAAACTACTTCAGTGAAGTCATGATCAGATTGTCCTTTTGGTTGCTGTTTTGATCTCTGAGTGGTAATGTAGTATCATAAGAAATCCACTTTGAAGGCTTCACAGAATAGCATCATCTTTGATCACTGCTGCTCATAGGATGACAGAGAACTAGGGATTTGTAAACCTTTGCTTCCACTGTTAACTCACTGTTATACTTTAGGTGATTGTGAACTTATGGCAAAACTAGAAATAGTGAAAATGTTCCTTGATAGAAGAACATACAATTTAAACCCATCACTACAATAATAATTTGTAGTACTTTTTCCGTTGTGGTTTTTAGTAGTTAATCTTTGGATACTGAGCTTTTATTCTAAAAGGTTATCATTTAGAAACTTGCAGCTTTTTTTCATCATGTTTCTATAGCATGCAGTATGTACATAGTACTGTCAGTGAAGGTTTAGCTTAGTAAGAATTCTGTTTTCATGGTGCTGTCATTTTTATTTATATTTAGTTTTTGTAACATTTCGAGTAGTAATAGCCAAGATTATTGAACATTGAATACTCGGATGACATGAAGTAGGTTCTATAAATAGCTGTCTCAAAAGGGTAGTTGTCAGAGGGTTGGAGAGGTTAAACCACGATTTGAGATCATTTATTCTCTTTTTTGAGGACTTTGAATCTAAATTCAGGACTTCATTTTGCATTCTTTACTCAAAGGCATTTCTTAGGCAGTGTTCAGAGAATAAGTAGAGTATTTATGGAAATTATCTCTGAACACGTGGCATTCTAAGTTATTCTGAGTTTTCTCATGTATTTCAAGAGTAATCATGGTTATCTTTGGTATTTGAATTGTATTTTTACATTCGTGTGAAAATTTTCATATTTATTTGTTTGATACTGGGGATTAGGTGCAGGACCTCACAGCACCTTAACACATGCTCTACCACAGAGCTACACACTCCTATCCAGTCTTCATGGTTTTCAGTTTCAAATGAAGCCCTTTAGATGCTTCTTAATTATGTTTATTCATTGTGATATTGTTTCAAGTAGGTAGATTTTAACCACTTTCTTTAATTGGAGACCTTTATAATAATTATTGAAACTTTAGATTAAAAATAGTTACCTCATTTATTCCCTTTTGTCAGGTGCTTATAGTTTATAAATGTAGAGACTATTTGGAAATCTCTTGTCTACGACAGTACTTGAAATAGTTATTTTCGATTCAAGTATAACCTTAGGGAACCATTTTCAACATTTTTATATTACTTTACATAGTACAGTGTTGAAATTGGAATATTTAAGTTTTTGCTGTGGAAGTGGAAACTGACTTGAGTTTATGTAACTTTGGGTTTAAATATCACAAAACTTCTGAATTTTTTGTGGCATGTAAATATTTATCTTTAATGATGATTAAACAAGAGAGTTCTAAATGAAAGAATAAATTCAGTATTACTTTATCTGACTTGGTTGAAAAATAGTGAAAATGTTAGATTGTGCTTTGAATTTTATTACAATGCTTCTAATAAAAATAACGTTTTTTAGTTTCAGTACAAAACGGTTCGATTCATCAAAAAGATGCTGTAAATGATGATGATTTTGAGCCATACTTAAGTAGCCAGACAAATCAGGTAAGTTTTCTGCCAGTTTCAGATTTTTAGGAAGTTAAACTTTTTTCAGTATAAACTGATTTTTTTCCTTTAAATATAATTGAATGACACTAACCATAACATGAATTAATTCATCTAATGCACATGGATGTAATGGACGACAGGTGTAGGCTAGGGCACAGGTGAGTTCTCTTTTTAAAGATTGTAGGTAGCTGAAACTAGATGATAAAATGAAAAATATCTGAAGATAAGCATTCTTACATATCACAGCTATATTGTTTTGAATGTTGAAATAAATTAATCTTTTAATATCACTATCATTGTTTTGTAACTAAAGCAGAAGGAAAGCTTAATTAGAAATTTTTACATGGAGAAGCGATTTCGTTTGTGTGAAATAAAGGTAGTACTTTTTTTTACAGTGCATTCTAATTTAATTTTATTGGAAATTACTAAAACCTTTAATATAACTTACTTATGTTATAGGATAGAATTAAGGATTTTATAAACACTTGTTTCTAGATTGTTACCATGGTGATTTATTAGCTCAGTTACTAAGCAGTAATGAGTTGCTTTAGTTTTGTGGTTGTTTTGTGTTTTTGGTGAGGGACTTACACATACCAAGCACACCCCACCACTGAGCTCAGACCTCCATCCCTAATGGCTTTTGAGGATTTGTGTATGGGGATAACGTAAATGTTGATGAACAGTAAAATAATCGTGTTAGGGTATCGTATATCACTTCTGTCTGAAAGTATGTCATTGCTAGAAATATTTTAAAACAAAACTTAGCCAATTTCATTAGAGTATTCTGAAACAAAAATGGTTTTGTAGTTTGCTTTAGAAAAAATATGTAGAAAATGAACTCTAAGATTTTAGCATACAGTTTTTAAAACTTTGACAGTTCAGGACCGTGGATTTAGCTTAGCAGTATATGCTCCTGCCTGGCAAGTGTGAGGTTGTGAGTTCGATCCCTGGTATCAAAACAAAGCAAAAAACCAAAACAACAACAACAACAACAAAAACTTTGACAGTTCAAGGAACCAAGTAATTACTACAGAATTTACAGTTATAAAAGAATTTAACAAAAAAATAATTCCCCAGTTTTACCATTTTGATTGTTGTGTGTCTTGATCATTTCTTCTTTACTATCCCGTCTTACCTTATGAGCAACATTCCTAACATACATTGGAAGGGAATAATAAAAACTGATGGTAGAATCTGAAAGGTTGGCTACTATGAAAGAATAAAGTTGATTTCACATTTATCTAACTTTTTTTATCCCAGTAATGAATTTACTTTTTCACTTAAGAGCTATGGAAAAACACATTACTTGAAAGTAGATCATTTGTTGTGAAATTTAGTACAAGTTTTAATTTTTTGGGTCATGAATAATCTCAATTAACATTCCTTATGGCACTGATTCCCAGTGTTTTTGAGAAATTCTGTTATGAAGTATACAAAGTGTTCTAAAGTGATCTGTATGACAAGAGAGATTTAAGAATTTTATTGGTCTTAAAAGTGGACAAGCTATTTGATTTCGTAAAATACAAAATGAATTTCTAAGAGGATGCTATGGTATGAAGTTCCCCAGACTGAAATTCACACACTGTTTTTAAGGAATTTCAGTGAATTATAAAGACAGTTTGAAAATTGCTACCTGAAAGAGTTGTCTTGTTTTACTGGGTAACCAGTACTTTACATTTCTTCATTGTTTGTCATAAGGAAAAAGGTTTTGAAAATCTGAAGAGGTACTTCAGAGGCTGGCTAAGGGAGTCCAGAGGAGGGTTTCTGGTATAGTACAGAGCTGTACTATTTTATTATTTTACACATTCTGCATAAATTTTCATTTCTAATAAATATTTTTCAAAGTGTTAGAAAATCATTACTTAAAACTTTTTTTTTTAATAGTATATTGAAACTGGGCTACATTTATTGAAACTGGCCACAAGAAAATCATTGACTGTAAAGAATTTAAAAGCATTTATCTTAGTAAAATGAGATGAATTGTTCATTTCTATCATTGCTCCTTACGAGCGGGGAAGATCATTTATAAAAGATTTGTTTTAATGTGACGTACAAAGAGAAAGATTTAAAATTTTTATATTAACTTTTAAATCAGCATACTTATGTCTGGTTGGAAGGAAAATTTGAATGTTTTATTCCAGTAAACTGTTAGCTAACATTAAATAGTTTTCAGCAGTATTGTGGTATTAAAAATGTTAATGATGCACATACTTATGTTTTAAAGAGCACTAATGCTTCAGAATGTTAAAAACTAGGTCTGTTGTAGAGAAAAATTGTATGTCTGAACTCAGGTAAGTTACATAAGAATTTAAGTTATTTACAATTACCTAGATAAAAAAGATTTAATTTTTTAAGGAGTTTTAGCAAATTAGTGAAAACTGGGGTTACTGCTAAAATATCTCAAGTGATTATTGACTGGCTGTATAATGTGAACATGTGGTAAGTTCCTTAAAGAGTGACTTAACTGAAGCAGTTGCTTAATAGAATTTTTAAATTTACACCTTTTGCTTTTAAAATTGAATCTCTTGATCTGTGAATGTAACTCGAGTGGGGTACATGCTAGAAATGGAGAGTTTGGTTCCTCTTGATACAAAAACAAGTCAGTGTTTATTTCCAATTTAATACTATAAATAAAAAACTTAAAGAGGAATCTTTTGGTGAGAAAGTTGTTCAATGCTTTTGCATGATGATTTAAAGATATCACTCAGATCAAACCTATATTGAAGTAAACTGTTGGTACCACTCCCATGGCAGCATGTTTCTTTTATTTTTCTGTGTTTTTCGGTGTTCAGTTACTTTTTCCCCTGCTGGGGGTCAAATTTAGGGGCTGCACACACACATGCTAATACTCAATATACCTCTACTGTTGAGCTGTATTCCCTCCCCCACAGTGCACTCTCCTTTCTTGGCAATTTTAAAAGTAAATACCAGTGCTTTGGGTCTTAAAATTAATTCTTTATAGATCTTTAGAATATTTTGGTGATTTGGAAAATTCCTGTTTCAATTATTAAAGATACGTAATTTTTAAATATGAATTTGAAGATAAATTGGAAAACTAAAGTTTGAATAAATGATATTAGCTATACTTGTCAGGGAAGTATAGTAATATTTTCAATTTTATGTTTTATTTTCCCATTGCTGTCCTTAGATTTTCCTTATTCCTTACTTATAGGAATGATTTTTTTAACTGGTAATTTCATATTTCTGTTCACTAGTCATAATATCCCTATGTGGTTTGCCATTGTTAGTATTAATAAGAATTAGCCAGTTTCCTGACAGTGGGTGCGTTTATTAATCAAATACCCTTAAAATGACTCCAGTTTTTTCTTTACTACATACTTTGTCACATTTCTTTAACACCTAGGAAAATAAGACTTAACATTTCCTGGAAATGTAAAAATTTTCTAAATATTTCTTTTTCATCTTGATGTTTGCATTTATATTTATATTTTATATATACTTACAAAGTTTGTCCATTCTCATGGAGGCTCCTGTATATTACTTCTGTGAGATCTTTTCTGACTTCTCAGTTGCTTGCTACCCTTCTCTTTGCTAAAGTGTTTTATTTTGCTTTCTTTATACTTCAGTTACTTTGTGGAGTAAACATCTTCCTGTTACACTTGTGAAGTGCTCTAGTTGGAGACTATGTTGTAAATCTTTGTTCATAGTGACTGAAATGCTATCTAGCATAGTGAGCATTCAAGAAGTATTTATTAAATAAATAGATTAGGTTATTGATAGCGTAAGAATGAAGAATCGTACTACGTGGAACTCGTTTTTAGCCACTTTTTAAAATGCTTACCATTAAAAAAAGCAATGTTTTATTTTACTTTTTTTGTTTCCTTTTTCTATTTATTTTGGTACCAGGGATTGAGTATGACTACCAGTTGAGCTACATCTTACAGAGCCTGTTATATTACTGACTTACTTGTGTCATACTACACAAGTGTTACAACTGTTTGTTGCCTTGAGAAAACTAATGTCTTTTGTTCTCTAACATAAGTAAAATTAACTTCACAACCCAATAGAAGTAACATTGTATGGAAAGGTTAACTGGGAACTGCCAGTAAAAGTTGGAATTGCTACTTAAGAGACTAAAACAGGAAGCTCTTTTAAGTTTGAGACCAGTTTGGGCGACTAAGCCAAGACCCTTTCTCCAAATAAAAAATGAAGAGATCGAGGTGCAGCTCAATGTGGAAGTCCTGGGTTCAATCCCCAGCACTCTTCTACTCAAAAACAAAGCAAAGCAAAACAACAATACCCTACACCTGTTACTTACTGTTGCTTAAAGAACCACAAGTCACAGTATGACTTTTCAGACACTTCAAATCAAGTATATTTTACTGTATTCAAAACATTAAATTCATGTTACAGTTTACTCATTTACTTGAACCTTGCTGATTAACTATCATTGAAAATATATCCAAAGCATAAGCACTTTTTCTTAAAGAATATCATTTCTGAAGCAACCAGAATAGCATCATTGCACGAAACTAACTGCTGCATTTAAATATATAAATATACCTAACAGAGAAAAGCTTGAGGAGAGTTCAAATATACCAGCAAAAGTACAGAGCCTACCCTGACAGAGAAGTCACTGATAAAAACCTCAAGTTAAATTTAACAGAGTATCCAGTCTTTGTATAAATTGTCACTTAGCCGTTTATTTCCAAATTCTTTAAGTACTTTTAGCTGAATGAGGATATTTTTCAAATAGCTCTATGAAAATAAGCAATATTCTAAAGCAGTCTTTTCAAAAAGTCAAGGCTTTTGCTGCTAACAGCTGAATACAGGGAATAGGAATATAGCTCAGGAGTAAGACCTAGCATGCATAAAGCCAGACTGCAATTTCCAAAACTACAAAGAGAACAGTGTTAGTACTTCAGCTGTAATTTTTATATTGTAAATGAACAGTAAATATTGTGGAACATATAAAACATCTTAAATTGCCATGTTAATTTAGGAAAAATCTGAATTGCTGAAGAGGCACAAAATTTTAACACTTCTGATAGAAAACAACTCAAAACTTCTACGTTTTACCTCAAGATTATGAACTTAATTTGTGTCCTGTTCATTTAAACCAGTCTTCATGACTTGGAAATTCAATATTAGTGAAACCTTACTATGTATATTAAAAAGTTACATCACCTTCACTTTAACATTGTTTTGAACATCACAGATTTATGCAATAATAAACTTTCACTGAACTCTGTTATGTGAAATGCTTTTCTCCATACTTAACAAATTAGGAGGAAAAATAATAGTAATACATAAGCATAAAAGCAATGTAATAAGCAGGGGATTGGTGCATCCCTATTTTCCCAGCACTCAGGAGACTGAGTGGTGAGGTGGCATGATCCTGTGAGCCCAGAGTTTACCATCATCCTGGAAACATAGTGAGAATCCCATAACAGGAAAAAAAAAAAAAAAAGAAGTAACAATAATTTTTATGTACAAATGATTAAACATACTTGTGACCGTAGATCAATAGACCCTTATGTCCTAAAAGTAGGAATAAAATCTGGAATATAGTTGAAGTGAAACCACGAGTTATCTAGGTTCTAAACTCAACTCATCTCTTAAAGATTAAAGAGATCCAGCAATCTCACTTTAGGCATTTACTCACAAGATCTGGTAGGAGATACGTTTAAGTATCCAAGCAGATAAAAGGATTAAAAATGTAGTACATACACACAAATGAAATACTACTCAGAATTGAAAAAATTTTAACATATGGATAAAACTGAGCATTATGTTAAGTGAAATAAGTGAGGAACAGACAAATACTGAAATTCTCACTTAAATTCGGATTCTCAGGCACATTACAAAGCAGAGTAGAATGCTGACTACAGAAGTCAGATATGGAAAAGATGGTGGTCAGAGGATATGAAAGTCTCAGAATACAATGGGTTTTTCTGAATTCATTACACAGTGTGGTAAATTTAGTTGTATATTACATTTCAAAAATTGTTACTAGCATTATTTTATACATTCTCACTACAAAAACTGTCAAATATCTGAGGTGATAAAAAGATCAAGTGGCTTAATTATTCCACATTGTACCCATAAATCTCAACATTGTTTTGAACACTACAAATTTATGCAATAATAAACTTTAAATTTATAATAAAAGTAGCATTATAGCTCAACATGTGCCTAGAGATCAGTTGAAAATTAAACTCAAGAAAACTTAGGAATGAATCATACTTGTGTTTGGAAGTTGATTTGGGTTACTAACACACAGGTATATATCTGTAAAGCCACTAACTGGACACATTTTATGTATTTTGTTTATTGTATGTTAAATTTTGCTTCAAATTGAAAAAAAGTGCAAGTAAATAACACTAATAAGTGGTGAAGTATTTAGGGGAAAGCTTATCAAGTCTAACATTTTAAATGCATAAAAGAAAAAAGATGAATAAAGAAATGTGATAGAACTTGATGTTAATGGCAAAGTCTAGATAGGTATAGATGTGTTAACTTTAAATTTTTCATTATTAATACTTGAAAGGTTTTATAGTAAATTTTTAAAAATGGGAAATAAAGATAGTACAATGTCTAGGAGACATGTATTCAACAAATGATGCAAATACATTAATACAATTTAACTTGGCTTCTTTTTATAATGTACCATGTGCATGGTATAATTTCAAGCCTAGGGCTTCATAGTTTGAAGGATATGGGATCAGTTCTTTACTTTTCCATTTTTTTTCCCTGCCCTGCCTGGTACTGGGGCACTGAACACAGGGTCTTTGGACTCAGCTGCATCCCCAGGTCTTTTTTCATTTTTTATTTTGAGGCAAGGTCTTGCTGAATCACTGTGTTGCCCAAGAGTGCTGGGATTACAGGTATGCAACACTGCATTTTCACTTTACCAATTTCCACAGGTCATTTAATTTCTTCATTGATAAAATGCAGAAAATAATTTCTGCTCTACTCAACTGGAAAGTGAATCGCTTTGAAATTGAACTCAAGGTCTGTAGTGTGCTATTAGCACATGCTTTGGCATTGAGCCACACTCCTAGCCTATGAAGATTTTTGAGAAACTACTCAGTTAATTGCAAAGTGCTACAAACTCGTCAAACCTTTAACTGAAATTTTTTCCCTAGTAGGAACACACTTTGTTTTTTAAAAAGATTAAAAGTACTTCGGTAAAATTTCAAAATCATTGTTAATCGTTGTGATATAAGGCAAAACTCCTCACTTGAGAATTAACAACAGAAGTTAAGTCATATTTGTTTGTATATATCTTTTAATTATACTTTGCAGAAGTGTAATTATATGCATTTAGTCATAAAGATGTCCTAAGAAAGTGTCAACTATTAAAAAAACTTCATCAGCCATGCTTCTTCTATTACCCTGTCAGATTGCCCAGTCCATTCATTTAATAACTGTTTAATGAATGCCCACTCTGCTAGATAGGAGACCATTCACTGAACAAAGATTTAGAACATACTCTCCAACCTATAGCATTTCACAGGTGTAACAGTAAGATGTTTACTCCACAAAGTGAGTAAGTAACTAAAGTATAAAGAAAGCAAAGTAAAATGCTTTAGTTCAAAGAGGACAGTGCAAATAACTGAGAAGTCAGAAAAGGTCTCATAGAAGAAGTAGTACAGAGGAGTCTCCATGAAAGGGGTTTTATTTAAAATGTTTGTTTTGGTGGTGTCCTATATTGAATCCTGGGCCTTCCCCAAGCATGGAAATTTCTTATCACTGAGTCCTCTCTCCCATTCCTTGATACATTTTTTTAGTTAAAAAATGTTTATAAAATAATCCCAACAGTGTAACAGCAAATAAATAAATAAATAGAAAAAATGTGTTAAGAGCTTTATCCCAGGGAACTTAGAATGTTTATGTAGATTAAGTGAATAGTTAGCCTTAATGGTATTGATCCATGTGAAGTATCATCAGTTTTCTTAATTTTTTTGCTTTCCATAGTTCCATCATTAGATCTTTTCTAAAAACGTCCTTTTTTGGGGAGGGAGTACTGGGGATTGAACTCATGCACCACTGAGCTAAATGCTCAATCCCAAAACATCCATTTTTAAACTTGTTTCTTAACATTTTCAAAAGGAAATCCTGAGAAGTACTCTTTTCTTCACTGATGTAACAAATTTGAGTCTTACATTCATTAATAGAATTTGGTGCCTTGATTTTTTAGCAAATTACTAAATGCAAGATTAATATTCAATATGAAAGTACAATGTCCTGAGTCTACTTCCTATTACCAATAAAGACATATTCAAGATTAAGGTAGATTTAATTGCAGTAATTCTGGAATAAAATTGTGGTGCTATTTCTAAATTTAAAAATTATGGTCAAGAAATGGCCTATGAGTAAAATTTGGAAAACATAAAAAAGGCTGTTACTTTAAGAAACCAACTAAGGATTTTGTTTCATTTCTTTGACAATAAACATGGAAGAGCAGACTGGTAAATAAACTTGGATCATGTTTTATGTGTAATCTTTTTTTCTTAGAGTGTGAGCAGTTCTCCGTTTCTTTTTTTTTTTTTAATGAAAGGACACAATGTAGCACTTGAACTGAATTCTGCCATAAAGATTGACTGTTCTATTTGACCGTTTGCAAGTTTATCTAATTCTTGCCTGCAATTTTAAATCATCAGTTGCTTAAAATAAATTACCTGTAACTGATAATTTTGAGCCTGTAAAACTTGTGAATCTACTTTTTGTGAAAATTACTGTATTTTGACATGACAGAGGACCTGATTTCGAAGATTTTTTTTCTACCGTTCCATTCCTACCTTTTCCTTCTCAAAAGCCGTGTGATTTTATAATAAGAATTTTGAAATATGAAAACTAAGCTAAAATGTGTTGCTGGTTAGATTAGCTTTGAAATTTTACTTTTATCTAGAACAGGTACATTTCATTTATTTAAAATTCATTTTAAATAAATTCATTTCAGATACCTTTTTCCCTTCTTGTTAACAGGATATTTCTCTACTAACTGTGATCTTCTGTTTTGCAGAGTAACAGCTATCCACCAATGTCAGATCCATATATGCCTAGTTACTATGCTCCATCCATTGGATTTCCATATTCTCTTGGGGAAGCAGCATGGTCCACGGCTGGAGACCAGCCTATGCCATATCTGACAACCTATGGACAAATGAGTAATGGAGAACATCATTATATACCAGATGGTGTTTTTAGTCAACCTGGAGCATTAGGGAACACCCCTCCATTTCTTGGTCAACATGGATTTAACTTTTTTCCTGGTAATGCTGATTTCTCTACATGGGGGACAAGTGGATCTCAGGGACAATCAACACAAAGTTCTGCTTATAGTAGCAGTTATGGCTATCCACCTAGTTCTCTTGGGAGAGCTATTACTGATGGACAGGCTGGATTTGGCAACGATACTTTGAGTAAGGTGCCTGGCATTAGCAGTATTGAGCAAGGCATGACTGGACTGAAAATTGGTGGTGACCTGACAGCTGCAGTAACAAAAACTGTAGGTACAGCCTTGAGCAGCAGTGGTATGACTAGCATTGCAACCAATAATGTGCCCCCAGTTAGTAGTGCAGCACCTAAACCAACCTCCTGGGCAGCCATTGCGAGAAAGCCTGCCAAACCTCAACCGAAACTTAAACCCAAGGGCAATGTGGGCATTGGGGGATCTGCTGTGCCACCACCTCCTATAAAACACAACATGAATATTGGAACTTGGGATGAAAAGGGGTCAGTGGTAAAGGCTCCACCAACCCAACCAGTTCTGCCTCCTCAAACTATAATCCAGCAGCCTCAGCCATTAATTCAACCACCACCATTGGTGCAAAGCCAACTGCCTCAACAGCAGCCTCAGCCACCACAGCCGCAGCAGCAACAAGGACCTCAGCCACAGGCTCAGCCTCACCAAGTGCAGCCTCAACAGCAGCAGCTGCAGAATCGTTGGGTAGCTCCTCGGAACAGGGGAGCAGGCTTCAACCAGAACAATGGAGCTGTCGGCGAAAACTTTGGTTTAGGTGTTGTACCTGTTAGTGCTTCACCTTCTAGTATAGAAGTGCATCCAGTGCTGGAGAAGTTAAAGGCCATAAACAACTATAATCCCAAAGACTTTGATTGGAACCTGAAGAATGGGCGTGTGTTTATAATTAAAAGCTACTCTGAAGATGACATACATCGTTCCATCAAGTACTCTATCTGGTGTAGTACTGAGCATGGTAATAAGCGTTTGGATGCAGCTTACCGTTCCTTGAATGGGAAAGGCCCACTGTATTTACTGTTCAGTGTGAATGGCAGTGGACACTTTTGCGGAGTGGCTGAAATGAAATCTGTTGTGGACTATAATGCATATGCTGGTGTCTGGTCTCAGGATAAGTGGAAGGGCAAATTTGAAGTTAAATGGATCTTTGTCAAAGATGTTCCCAATAACCAGTTACGGCACATTCGTTTAGAAAATAATGACAACAAACCAGTAACCAATTCAAGGGACACTCAAGAGGTACCCCTAGAAAAAGCTAAGCAAGTGCTTAAAATAATTGCTACTTTCAAGCATACCACCTCAATCTTTGATGACTTTGCACATTATGAAAAGCGTCAAGAAGAGGAGGAAGCCATGCGTAGGGTAAGAGTGCAGTAATTTTTGTTTGTAGGATTTTGGGGAGGGATTGAGTGGACATCCTTTCTTACTGTTACATTCAGAGTTTAAGAACTTGGTTCTGAAGGGAATCAACCAATGAACTTCAGAAACAGCACTCCAAAAATCTTTCAAAGGAGTGCATGTATCTAATGTGAACTGTTTTTTTCTGGCTGTGGAATTCAGGGCCTTGTGCATGTGAGGCAAATACCTGGCCACTAAGCTGTACTCTTGGCTCTGTGAGCACTGATTCGAGGCATGTATTTTATAACAAAATGAGTTTGAAGTTTGAAACATAGTTCTTAAATGTTTGAGTGTTGCTTATTTTACACTTAGGAAAAGGTAATTTTTTTTTCCTTTTTCATTATGCTAAATGCAGTTGAAGCAGTTGTTAACAAAAGGAGCAAAGATGTGCATTATGAAGGTAGATTGTGGGAGGACCTGTTTGGTTTGTTTGTCCTCCCTCCTGTTTTCCAGGCAGGTGCTGTGCCACTGATGACCTGGGCTTTAGAATTAGGATTTTTACAGTATTTGAACTCACATTTTGTTACTCATCTTGGGGATTCAGAAAGACTTCCTTAAAATTATACAAACTATCACTCATTCAAGCTTGAGTCCTGTTTGCTGGAATTTTATAACAGGTAGGCTTAAAATGTTTTCTGATTTAATCTACAACTTAACTTTGGGTCCTACATTTAGGTGAAAAGAGAATGGGGGAAATAGGTAGCTTGCAAATTTTTCTATAGCCAGTATATTTATTATGAAAAGAAACAATAAATTTTTATAGAAAGGAATATGAGAAGTTACATGGGAAGCAAGAAATACAAGACAGTGAAGCAGAAAATTAACTGTATCTAAAACGCTAATGATTGGGGGTTTTTTGTGAGCTTAAATGTCCTGGGGCTTTCCTTGATTGCATGCAGCAGAGAGAACACCTTCAACTACCATTACTCAGGCGTGAGTACTGTTGGAATAATGATCTAGAACTCATAATTATTTATCAAGAGTGTTTCTTGAAAGTACAGATTCTCATTTACCTCTTCAGATAAGGGAGCTGATAGGGTACATGTTTTACCAAGCACCCAGGTGATTGTGGTGCCAGTGATTGCTGTGCTCTCTTTTTAGAAACTTTGCTATGGAGTGATTGATGCAAATACTATTTAAGACTGTGGACCTGGAGTGATTGATGCAAATACTATTTAAGACTGTGGACCTTTTAAATGGATTGCTGAATGAAATTTCTCACGTGTGGAAGTGAGGGAGAAGGCTCTATTGAGGTTTTGAACTTGTAGTTGAGAAAATGGTCACATTTTAATTGCTGTTGTAAAATGGGGACTTCTGCTAGATATAGTAGCGTGTGCTTGTAATCTTAGGTTCTCAGGAAGCTAAGGCAGGAGAATCACAACTTTTGAGGCCATTGTGGGCATTTTGGCAAGGTTCTGCCTCAAAATATAGAATATAAAAAAGAGTGGGTGTAGTTGCTCAATGCTAGAATGTTCCTAGGTTTAATCGCAGTACCACAAGAAAAAGAAAGTGCAGGAGAAATGATTTGGAATCTGAAGAGTGGGATGCAGGTGAGATTTCATTTTGGAATGTGCTTATTTTGATGCACTTTTGAGAAATATGGGCAGTGAAAACTTCGATTTAGACAGGGAGAGGTAGGGGTCAAACGTACAGGTTTTTTAAATGATTCTCTGAAAATGAGGTGAGATTATCCAGGAGGAAAAGATTATTTATTAGCTTCTATCAGTTGAAGGACAATGGAACTTTTATTATTTGTAGGACTAGTGATTTGCTAATACTGCACAAGTTTTAAGCCCTTGCATATTCAAAACATGTCTGTTTTTGGCCATGATATATGAGCAGCAGCTTTGTTGGATATAGAATTTTTGGATCATAGTTTGTTCATTCTAAATGCCATAAGCTTTGCTTTACAGATTTGTATAACTATAATCTTAAAACTGGCCTCTTTCATCATGGTACTTTTGTGCTTCATCTGTATTTGCCGATTGTCTGGTTTTGTTTTTTAATTGCTAAGTGTTTCATTTAGTTAATTTTTTTTCATTGTGTTAATGTTGCGTAGTGTTTATCCATTGACCATGTGGACGATGTTTGGTTTATTTCCAGTTTCAAAGAGTTATAAACAAACGTGTATGCATTTGTTTGCATATCCGTAATTAAAAAAGTCATTCAGCAGCCAGCATGGTGAAACATGCCAATAATACTGTCATTTGGGAGGCTGAGGCAGGAGGATCCCTCAGAATTAGAGCCCAGGCTAGGCTACAGGGTGAGCTCAAGGCCAGTGTTGATTACATAGTGAAATCTTGTCTCAAAAAAAAAAAAAAAGCAAGAACAAAACAAAATAAACTTTTAGTAAAATGATCTGGAGTTTGCAGCTTTCAGTTTAATGTGTAGATTTTTGTTTCTCTTATGTTTACATTCTTTTACCTGGTGTTGGACCCCTGATGGCCACTGATGTTTGACTTGCATGATTTTGTTTTGTCTTTTGCAGTTTTGTTAGTATTAAAAGTTATCCCTCAGAACTCCTTTGGAGTTTTTTCCTGTAGGTTACTGTCCAGAAGGAGCAGTGTCCATTTATGTATTTGGCTTAGAATATGTACCTTTGGTTTCTTCTTTCTTTTTTAAAAATTTATTTCTGGTTCTAGTTACAGGTACCCTTACTATTATTGTAAATGTGGAAATAGGAGAGTCAAGCTGTAAGTTGATTTCACTGGTTTAAAGATTCACCAACATCCATAGAGTTAAAAGGAATCCTGCTGGGTATTTGACTTCCCTTTGTGTTTGAGCCCACTCTGTCAAGAACCAGTATTCCTTGCTTTTTCACTGTTTAACTGGATCATTTGTCTTTGCCAGCTTTTTTCGTTTTGCTGTCACCTTTGTCCAGTCAGATTTGTACGTTTTCATTTGTAGACTTTCTCTGATGTGCTTGTGTTTGCTCTTGTTCTCCCCAATATAGTTGTTTTTCAAATATTATTGGCATTTCAGTGACAAATGTGCCTCCTATCCTAAGTCCTCCTTAGCTCCACCAAGAAGGACAAGTTAGTTGTATTTTGAAGTCAGTTTCTTAAACATGACACAAACTGCACTAATAGTTAAGAGACTACTGATAAGTTTTACTAGGTTACAAATTTGATTAAAAGATTCTTTAAGGAAAATTTGAAAGACACCTTTTAAAGAGTGGGAGAAATTTGAATATAACTGACCAGAGATGATGGTAGTGATTCCGAACCTAAGGCGAGACTACAGATTTAAGGTCAGCCCAGGCAACTTAGTGAGACTGTCTCAAAATAAAATGTAAGAGATGGTGGTGTAAAATAATGGGAGAGTGTTTGCTTAGCATGTAATGTGTAAGTCCAATCCTCAGTACTATAAAACAAAAGAAAAACAGAAGGCAACTAAAAAACAAACTCCTATGTTTTTTACTCTAATCCTAACCCTAAAAGGTAACTGTATTTTTAGACGGAATGGACTCACCAGATGATCAGCAGGATAGTTTAAAATAAAAAAGAAAAAATAAGATAAAGAGAAAATTTTAAGTGCCTAAGCAAAAGATACTTTACCTAGGAAAGGATAATTAAATGATCAGAATTGTCTCCTCTGCGACTCTGTATAAACATGTAAAATCTTCTTTCAGCGTGGAGGAGACAGATGCAGAATTATACCTGAAAGATGAGTCTCAGGGGTAGGGCATTTTTGAAGAGGCTATTACAGATTAAATGTTAAGAAATGACTTGTTAAGAAAAATCTTGTTTTCAAGTAGCTAAAGTCTAGTGCTATAATTTTGAGTCATTTAAAAATTTTTAAGCAGGGAAGTTACTCTGTCTTAAAGTATGTTGAACTATTACTAACTTACGAATTACATGTGAAATTTTTTGTTAGTATAACAAATTATAAGCATGAAATTCTGCTTATGAAAGTTGATAGAGGTTGAATGACTTCAAAGAGCCTGAGCTTCCAGTTTTCTTGCGTGTTTATAGAATTCTATTGGGAGGCTGAGGCAGGACAATCATTTGCAAGACCAGCGTGGGCCACAAAGTGAGTCCACTGCCAGCCTGAACTGCCGAGCAAGACTCTGTCTCAAAAAGACCCCCCCCAAGATTCTAGTAGCATACTAAAATTCTTAGTAGCATACATCTTTGTGTTCATATTAACCTGTGTCATTATGTAGTTGCATCCTCCATTTTTTTGTTTGTTCCCTCATTGATTCCATAAATAAATATTAAAAATTTCCAGTAGCCAGGAAAGATAAATATCTTTATTTCATAGAACACACTCTGCTTGAGTATATAGGTGTGTATGTCCTGGCAGAAGAATTTTGTAATTCTCCATTTTTTTGTTAAGTATATTTCTAAGTATTTACATTTTTTGGTTCATCTGTATTCAGTTCTACTTCTTTCTCCTTCCCTCCTCTCCTTTTTTTTTGTGGTAGTGATGTTTGAGACCAAGGCTGCAGGCATACAAGGCAAACACTAGAGTATTTCTCTAGCACAGAGGTACCTCTTCAGGACCCTTTTTAAAATTCTGAGGCCAGAGAGCTGCTAAATTGCCTAGGGTGGCCTCAGACTTTGATCATTCTGGGATTACAGGTGTGTGCAACCATACCCAGCTTCAGTTTTTAGTTTCTCGTTGTATTCTACTAATGTATACGTGTAGAATTGATTTTTAAATACTTTGTCATGTGTTCTTGTATCCAGCGTTATTACTCATATTATTTTACTATTACAATTCTGCTAGAATGGCCTTAGAATTTTCCATGTTACAGTCATGTTAAATTAAGATTTTTTTTTCCTTTTTGGTTTTCCTTTTGCTTTTTGCTTTGCAAATTTTGTTAATAAGGCCTTTTTTTTTTTTTTTTTTTGGTACCGGGATTGAACTCCTGATCTTCTGCTTACCAGGCAAGTACTGTCCTAGTGAGCTATATCATTGGCCCCTTGTTACAACTGTCTTAAAGGTGAAGTAAAATCTTTCAAAACAAAGTGACACATAATGTCCAAATTAATTATGATGAGTGATGCTATTTTATTGAACTAAATCACGGCCAACACATAAATTTAGTTCTCTAAACTGTATTCTTGTTTATATTGAGCCACCTATACTAACGTGTTCTCCATTATTTTCTTTTTGAAATTATTACTTTTTTCTTATAGCACACTTTTTTAGTTTATCTGATCTTTGACACAAAAGAACAATTTCTGTAGTAGTGGACTGCATCTGCTTTTTTTTCCCCTCAAACTTGAAATGCTACTTTACATTATAAATAGAAGACACTGTAACTTTAAAGAACAATTCTGTATTACAATTCAGAAAGTAATATAATAATGCAGGGGAATGGTAGAGCCTTATTAAAATAGAAGATAAATTTCAGAGATGTGAAGAGTTGATTTCCAGAAACAGAAGCTCTCTGCTGCCAAAGATTATTATTTCCTCTAATGATTATATAGTTTTGAATTTGTTTTCACAATTCACAATTGCTGTTTCCTTTATGTTCTTTGTCTTTTGCTTTCTTAATGCAAAAGGAGCTATAGAGTTGCCAGGACAGAACATGCCACAGACTCACCTTTGTGTTTAGCACTTTATGGTTCTGGATACACTGAAACATTTGAGCAGCTTGGATTCCTATCCATCTATTACCCCCAGTTTTACTCTTTGGCATGAATTTTCCAGCTCTGTCAGCCATCTATGAAGATTTTACTCTATAAGTCATCAGTTGTCATGAAGAATTGAATCTACTAGATGTCTGAACTTCAGGCATGGTTTATTCGTAAATAGTCTTAAACCTACACTCTCGTATTTTTTTAAATGAAAAATGTAGTCTGATGTAGTCATTGATTTTAACTTTAGTGTAGAATTTAAAACTTTTCAAACAAAGTGAACAGGGATCACTAAAATATTACCCTGTAAAACAGTTTGTTCGGTACTTATGAGTAGCTAAGAGATTTTGGAAACGAATGTCACAGCAGTTACGTGTCTTTCATTTTTAATTGATTACTAATGACATAAATTTTGATTTTATATATCCTATGCTGGGCTTTCACTTGAAATCTTCAGCCTCCCAAATGCTCGGATTACAGATTGAGGTTATTGTACTTGGTCTTGTTTGCTCCTTTTGTTCTTCAAGAATACTCATTTTGTATTGAATCCATCCATTAAATTCTCTTATTTTTTCTGTTTTCAGTTTCTTCATATTTTATTTCTCAGAGATTTAATGCTCTGCCCCACAAGTGAAACAGTGACCATTTGCCCCTTAAATTTGTCTTCTAAATTTTTCAATCTGAAAATGGGGTTGCTAAGCGACAAAAGGGTTTTTTTTTGACACACTCAGTGGTCACATCTTCCTTCAGTAATTGTGTTCTCTGTACTTACCTTCATTTTCTTCCTGGATGCTGTGGCTTCTTAGACACAGATGACTAAAAGCAAAAGATACCATTTCCCCGTGATAGTGAAGACAAGATGCAGCCTCTTATGTTGTTGAAGTCTGTTTGTTGGCTAGAAATAGCTTGAGAGATGGGAAATCTTAGCTTTTATCTGTCAAAAAGATACTAATTGGCAGTTAATCCTCCTGGTTACATTTCTATAGCCCAAGTTCTTTTTTTGGTACGGGGAATTGAACTCACAACCTTGGGCTTTGCCAGGCAGGTGCTTACACCACTGAGTTAAATCCCTGGCATCTGTGGCCCAGATTCTGGTCTTGGCATAGAACCTTTTTTAGTCTCTGGTGTGTTTACTTAGTTTGAAGTGGGAAAGAAAGTATACTGACCCGCTTTTTCTTCAAAAAGACTCAGTATCCCTCAAATCTGACCCTTATAAAAAGGCCTGATCGAGGCATAGTACTATTAGTGGGACAGTGTTGAGGGGAGATTTAAAGTGCTCACTTTTGTCCCTTTTAGATTTGTTGGTATTAATAGTACTTTTACTCTCATGATTCTGTTTCTACTTTCTGTTTTAGAAATCAGTTATTCAGAGAAATTTTTGTTATCTGCCTTTGGTTACACGTACATGGACTTGACTTGTTCTCTTTCATGCTGTTTTGTTCTTTCCCGCTGCAGTCATCTTCCTTCCTTCCTTTCTCCCTCCTTTTCTCCTTCTCTCTTTCCTTTCTTTTTGTTTTCTTCCTTTCTTCCTTCCTTTTTGAGACAGTGAATTCAGACTGACCTTGATCTGACTCTGGTATCTTAGCTTTCCTCAGACACATGGCTATTGATAGTCTTTTTCTCTGGTGGCACTGAGAGTTGAACCCAGGGCTTTCACACTGAGCTGCATCCTCAGCCCCCTTTAAACTTTATTTAGTTAAATTTTGAGACAGAGTCTCCCTTAAGTTGCCCAGGCTCAGCTTAAACTTGCAGTTTTCCTGCTTCTACCTTTCAGTGTGCAGAATTAGAGGTATGTGTGCTACCATGCTTAACCTGTTGGTCATTTCTTAATGCATTGTATTATTGATGAACTCCTTGCTCACTAGGTGTCTTGGTTACTGTGCTCTCACTGCTGGGAGAAAATACCCAATACGCAAAGTGAAGAAGGAAAGATTTATTTAGCTCACCATGGGAGGTTTCAGTCCATAGTCAGTGGGTTCCAAGGTGGGATGACATGGCACCGGGGAAGCACTTAGAGGCAGCAGCCAGAACAAAAAAGGGGAAGAGCAGGCCTCCTTTCCTCCCTTGTATTGATGCATCCAGCCCCCCCTGCCCCTTCAGGATGGGTATAGCATTCACACCATCTCTGTGCCTTCTTGCACAGGACATTTACAAAGAACCCTGGCTCCCTCTCTCTTTTAAACTTCTAAACTTCTGAAGTTGACAGAGTGTATCAACCGTAACACTTAAGTTTTTTTAAATTTCTGTTTTTAATTTCTTGTGTGAAGAAATGTTTTTTGGTCTATTTTCATTCTGAAATGGATGTCAGAAAATGAGGTCAGTATGAAACTGATTCTTTGGCTTTTGTTACCTAGTAGAATGTATATTCCAGATTTTCTCAGTGTTCTGGCTTATTTACATTTAGCTTTTTTCTGGTGACTTGCTTTATCACTTACTAGGAGAAACATGATAAATTCACCTAGTATGAACATTTTAGCTATAATTTCTGACACTTTCTAGTATAACATTTTTAGTTTAATACTGTTTTTCAAAACTTATTTAATGTGTAATAACCATTTTTATCACTGAGTTGTTTTCTTTTTTCTTTTTTGGGCTTTTGGACTATTTTGTCTGGTATTAACATAGTTGAATGGGTATTCATTTGATTTGTGCTACGTCCGCGTTAATTTTAAGTTTTCCATATTTGTGTCACTTAGGTTTACTCCTTTTAGATCATACACGATTTTAAAACAAGGAGTTGATACTTTATGTTTTTGTGGAAGCACCTGGGTTTATTGTGACATGTTGGAAATGTGTAAATCAGTGTAAATTGCTCATTTTTACACACTGATTTGTGCTTGTCCTTTCTCTTTAAATTAGTGGGTTTTTTCTTTCTCTTTCTTTTTGGAGTTTTTACTATCCTTTTCTGTTCATCGAATTGAAAGTTACACATAGTTTATGTTATATTCGTAGTCTGTATATCATAGTGATTTTAGAACAATGAACAGTTCATTAAAGTTCAAACTGAACTGAGCTGGAATTTTCCATTTAAATAACCTATGATCCTCATTATTATAACTGATCATATATTTCCCACACACGTTAAGCCTCTTTATCTGATAAACTCGTCCTTAGGTAGTAACCCCTTCCCCCGCTTTTATAGTTTGTATGGCTCTTTTTGCAATAAACGAATTTTGTTTTTTCTAGTATCATCAGTCATGAGAAAAAATGAGCAGTAGGCTCCTGCCTGTTTGTTTCGTATATGTGTTATATTTATATCATGTATCAAAATTAAACATGCTTCTAAATTTCTTACACAAACCTGTTTCCTTCAGGTGAGTACTAAACGTTCTTAATGTTTGAGCTGGTTTGTAAATAATTTAGGGTTTTCATAAAACTAGACTGTAGCTTTGTGGTATTGTATCCCTGATTTGTCCTTTTTCCCTTGTGCTAATACTGTTAAACTTTGTGTTTATCGTATTGAAATTGATTAATTTTGTTAGCTTTGTGTTTTGATTTCAGCTTCTCATTGATATTTATGAATAAAATAAGTAATAGTTATCATGTAAAAGAAATTTATGTCATTAGCTTTCAGTAATAAATACTGCTATTCAATTCCAGAAGATATTTAAAGGAAGAGTGTACTTTAGTAATAAAAAACTTGAATTTCTACTTGGAATTTCAAATGCAGTTTTCTGATGTCCCAGAGGATAGGAAAACAAATTAGACCATTTGGAAAGAACTTACATTAGTATGTGTTACAGAATGTGTATTTACTTCTGGGAAAGCAAGATGAGAGTAGCAAAAACAAGAGGAAAGAATGTTATACTATGTTAATGTTAAGCACTAGTACCTTTCAAAATTAGTCCCAGAGTCACTGCAGGCTTACCTTTAAACTTGGTAGAAATGTAAACTTAAGATTTCATTTCTGTTCTGTGAGACCTAACCATGATGTTTGGATAAGCCATGCAAGTGATTCTCACATTTTTTTCAAGTTGGGAGCCACTGAATTACACATCAGATGGTGCAGGGGATATACCGTACTCAATTAATAGTCATGGATGGTTGTAGTCTATGTCAAAGAAAAGAATATTTGATTTAATTATAAACAATACTACCCAGTTTAACTTAGGCGGTTTCTGCTTTCTTAGCCAAAGGAGTCTATATATCTCTCAGTTATCACATAAGACTAGCAGTGAACTGAATCTTAACATACTTCTTGGTGTGAAAAGTTATAGTGTGGTGAATGGGGGAATGAGAGGTGGAAGAAAATTCTTGAATCAGAGTTATTTCTAAATTCATGTTGAAGTCTTAATTTAATGTACCTTTAATGTAATGTAATGTAATTTTGTCTTCCTACCTGTGCCTCAGCCAAATAGCTTTCACATTGCTATACCTCATCGTTAAAAATTCATTGGAAGGACTCGTATTATTACAGTTTTCTAACTTTAAATAAATCGTGGGACAGTGAGGTTGTAGAAACCACCTAAGTTACTGAAAGAGGTCTTTCTGTTGGGTTTTTTAAAAAACATTTTGTGCTAATCATCCCACGATGACATAGATAATGGTAAAATGTTTTGAACTATTATTTGAAGAGCTTTATGTGAAGATGCTTTACATGAGCTTATAGTTTAAGTATTAAGTTGTCTGTATTTTTTGTTGTAATTTTTTTTTATCTTTTCCTTTCAGGAGAGAAATAGAAACAAACAATAACCATATGGAGATGTCCTATTAAAATTGCAACACTAATGATGTAGACTCTGGAAATGCCTAATAAGTCAAAGAAGACGTTATTAAAGCTTTTTTTCTGCTTAAGGTGACATCTTTGAACACTTTAACACAAAATTGACTCTTCTTGTAATGGTTTTCATCAGCGCATCTGCCCTTATATTCTCACCAAACACACTTGAGAACTGTAACTTCGTCAAGCACTTTCTGTCCTGAAGCTTTTACCAGTATCTGCTGTCTTTTGTAATTATGCATCCTAGCTAAGGCACAGAAGACTGAATGAATGCAAGGATTCATTAACTCTTTGAATTTGTTAAATACTAACAGTTAACCATTAGAAGTGGTTCAATGATGTAAGAGTCACACTGCTTCAACTTTTTCTTTGTTGTAGTTTTTAAATTGTCAATTTTTAGCTATTTGACAGATTAAAAACAAAATAATCATGCCATATTTAGTCCTGGAAGTCAAGTCTAAATGTTTATGTGAAAAATTATTGTAGTAAACTTTTCATATGGCAAAGCAACCTTAAGCTCTATTTTAGCCAAATGAAACATAATCTGAAATTATATTAGAACATTGCCCTTGTCTTCAAACTGTTTGGTGTAACAGAATGTTGATATGCAGCTTGGTGGATCTCACCAATTAATGCACATTCTTCTCTTCTCTTTCCCCCAGTTATATGTATACTGAGAAATGTGCATTTGTCTGAAGAATTATTTTGTTTGCTACCACTTAATCTCAAAATTTTGAGTAAATGTACCTCAGTCTAATCAGACTTTTTATGACCTTTATAACTACATTTAAAACCCTTAATTCCTATTTCTGGGTGTTTGCGAGCCTGATTGCTATCATGAAGTAAAAATTTATTACTCTAGGTATTCACTAGCTAAATAAACATAGTTCTTGTTTAGCAAGCATATACTGTTCCTCAACTCTTTTCTTCAGCTTTTGCAGTGTCCTGGCATCCTTAAAATACTTGGAAAGTATGGCCTTGATCCATGAATTAAATCAGTATCTTAAGTGAATGTGTTGATGTCTTATTGATCAGACCTATATAAGTGGGAATACAGCATATATCTGGGTATTCTTATAGTTATCTTTTTAACATCTTATTTTTTTCATTAATTACATATCAACATTAATTTTGTATCTTGAATCAAATTGATTTTGTATAATTAAATGTGTCAAGTATCTGTTAATTGATTTGATGGCATAAGATTATGAAAATAAATAATGTCCTGCCCCTTATATTACTGTTCCAAAAGAAGAAGCCTATGTAGAATGATACGTTAAGGATGAAAATAGCAATACAGTAGATTTGAGTATCTTGAGGTTTTTCATTACTTCATTTGTGTTTACATCATGTTTAGAAATGTTTTCATTTATTATGGTCTTTAGTCACTTCAAAACCTAGTGACAGATATTTCCTTGAGGTTTTCATTTGTGTAATTTTTTGTATGTTTGATGTTTTCTTATAATGTACAAATACTGTGTTTTTTTTTTTCCACTTGAATACGGTATTTGTAGGTAACCATAGCTATTTCACAGTTTTTCAGTAGTTCCAGTGTTCTCATATCAATGTTTATGGAAGGGAACATCAAAATACTAATAGTATATTATAAAATACTTTCTTAAAGGAAAATTGCACCTATTTTACCTTTTTGAGACTAAGCCATGAAATCTTGTAACCTGTCTCTTAACTATAAAGAAAATTGGCGTTTGGATAATCATCAGAGAGATGTTCTTTATTCCTAAGATTGTATTGATGGGACATGTCAAAGATATTATAGAAATCTGTAAAAGAGTGATCTTGTAGGAAGGATCCAAGTCCTCCCTTTGAGGGTCTCCTTTTCTTGGTGCTTTATTAGCAACTCTGGATATGTTTTATAAAATTAGTTACATTATAAATGGATTCAAACTCGTTTAACTTATGTTACGTTTCTGTGTAAGAAATGTCATGGAAACACCCAGCAAGCAAGCTGATTGCGGTAGATGGACTCACATATTTCAGATGTAGTTGAGAGTATGTTCATGGTAAGGAGTACATCCCAGTGCCTTTAACCTGGATTTCTAATCTTACGTGAAATGGGTGCAGCATTCCTTTGGAGAAGCAAATCTTTTCAATTAGTCATTTTGTGTTTTTCTCATTTACATTTTCCCCAGAGCAACAACCTTCGATTCCTTCTGGTTAGTCTGTATATTTCAAGATTTTTTCCTCTGAATAAAATTAAAGGTTTTCACAAGAACACAACCAGCTAGCTGAATGTTTCTTAACTGTAGAAACTAAAAGGGGTAGAACCTGGGCTGTATGAGAGGAGATAGGTTATCAAATGTTGGAATAATTATAAATTAAGATTTTATTGACCCAGTAAACTTCTTGCTTAATGTTTTCCAAGTTTTTGTTTGAATGTCTCTTGTTACAGTTATGTGGGTATTTTATTTCGAAAGGTATTTTAGTTTGTATATTTAACAATAATGGGGAATATGTAACCGAAATTAGTATTCTTTCTCTATACATATTGGTACTTGAAGATTCCTTTCAAAAGAAACCCAGTCTTTTCTTAATTTTAGTACTTAATTCCTCATTTTAACTTAAGTCATTTTTCTAATTCTAAAGCTGTGTTCTTTTTTGAGTACCATGCATGGAGGTAAACAGTTTGCAATAAAAAAAAAAAAGAATCAGCTTAAATCATTTTATTATTTCACGTGCATTCTACATCCTTTAAAAATAAGTTTGAGAGTTTTAAGAGACTTGTGTTTTCATTAAGTTTTGCATATCTTTTTGTTATGCCATGTAAATTCCCTTTTTTCTTATGATTAAAGGAAGGTTATGGTGAAATGATTAGTTTGTTTACATTCACTTGTAGCAGTTATATGAGAATTTGAATTTTGTTGTGTTTGGGTTTGTTCATTCCTGTGAATGATGGTACAGTTAGGTGAGATTTTCTGTTATGGTACCCAAACTCACCATTTGGTCCTCTTTAATCTTTGAGGGTTTCAATAAAAATTGTTCACTCATATCTGTGTTCTTTCCATTTTATCTATCTGTATAAATGTGTTGCCTTCAAAAGCAACATTTTTGTCTATTATGGATTTCATGATTGACATGTCAAGTACAAATAGATGATACTATTTATCTTAGTTGACCTTTTAAATTAGGGAGATAGAGAAGAAATAAGCATTTATCCCAGTGTTTATCCACACCTACTGAATTACGTATTCTTAATGCTAAACTCGGTTCAAATGAGAAAGGGAAGGCCTATTTAATTTACTTTTATGTAGTAGGAAGAAGTGGTAGCAGCTGTGTAATAACCATAACACCCTCCCCACCTTAGTCCCAAGGCATGTGCACATTATCTCTTAGGATCACTAGCAATTAGGTGAACAGGATCCAAGTGATTTTTGGATAGTATATTGATCATTGTTTAACTCTGAAGCATTTATTCAGATGGAGGAAATCATAGTTTTATACTTCCAAAACCAATAAAATCCATTCCACACTGGTGACTGTGACTAGGGCATTGTTCTGAACACTGCTGCAGCCCATACTGCAGCATTAGCGTAATCTGCCTTTCTAGTCATCTCATGAAGTAAAGTTTTTATTTTTGTCAATTTAGAGTGGAGGCCTAGTATTTATAGTTGAGACCTAATTCTTACCAGCCTTACGTCTTGCTTCATGACTCTAGATTTGGTTATACTAGCCTAGGAACTAAAATACTCTGAGTCACAAGTTTACTAATTGACATTATCTTTGCTTTCTGATCACAGTACTTGCCACTGCATAATTGATGTTTGTTTTTTTTCTCCATCCAGTAATGTACAAAATAATGGCAACTTGAATATTGTTTGTTAAATGTTATGTGCACCAAATTCCAAATTTATCTACTGTACCTGTCTTTGTAACATTGAAACTACTTGTAAATGAAGAACTGTTTTCATAAAACTTGCATGAGGCAGATAAGAATCCTATAGCCAGCACTGGTGGGGTCTTCTCAGGCTTTTCTGTCACTCCCCTGGCCTCTTTTAAGAACACTTTTAGAGATTTTAGAGTATTGAAATAAAAATTATTAAAATGCCATTTTAAAACAAGACATGCATCTATAATCAGAATGGAATTAGTAGCTAAGGGAAGATGGTGAAAGACTTAACAGATACGTAAAAGTGATAATTAATACTGAGCAAGTTACCTCCTTTGCTATGTCCTAAAAAGAACCATTCTGTTCAAGTAGAATGTATCTAAGGTTCTTCACAATTCTGAGATTTTGTAATTTATGATTTAACTTTGTAGGCTGTGCCTTTCTTTAGCAATGGCAAATATTTCTTTGGAAGTAAATTTATTTGGAAACCATTATAATCTTTGATCTTTGTTTTATTTAGTGTACATTAGTAAAGAACATATTCCCAAAGAAATTGAAGTCTGCTACCATTTCATATTGTCCTTGTATTTATTTTTATTTTTAAGTTTTTGTTTTATTTTTTATGAGACAAGTTCTTGGTTTGTAGTTTGCCTTGAACATATTATGTAGTGCAGGTTGGCCTCAAATGCGTGATTCTCTTGCTTTTACCTCCTGAGTACTGAAATAACTGGCATACACTGCTTGTGATGGCAGCATATTCTTGTATTTTTTAAAATCTGCTTTATTTTGAGAAGTTTTACAAAAAACTTTGGAAAGACTATTACAGAGTTCTTATGCAGCACGCACCTTGTATCTCCTAACATTTTATAAATTAGATATGAATACCTTATCAGTAACTACAATGCATATTCTTTCAGAGTTTTTAATGACCTTTTTCTGGCTCAGGATCTCATCAAGGGATACCATATTACTTTTTCTTGTCATAAGAAAGCATTTCCATCACATACCAAGGATATACCTAGTACCAACATAGGACTTGATAGTAACTTTGGACACCAACTGAAGTAATATTT